AAGGAAGAGAAAGAAAGGAAAGGGGGAGGAAGGGAGGAAGAAGGGAAGGAGAGGCGGAGGAAGAAAAGGAAGGAAGGAGGGGAAGGGAGGGAGTGGGAGGGAGAGGAAGGAAGGGAAAGAAAGGAAAGGGGGAGGGAGGAAGGGAGGGAGGAAGGGAGGGAGGGAGGAAATAGGAAAGAAAAGGGAAGGAAGGAAGAGGGAGGGAGGGAGAGGGAGAGGGAGAGGAAGGAAGGGAAAGAAAGGAAAGGGGGAGGGAGGAAGGGAGGGAGGGAGAGGAAGGGAGGGAGGGAGGAAATAGAGGAAAGAAAAAGGAAGGAAGGAAGAGGGAGGGAGGGAAAGAAAGGAAAGGGGGAGAAAGGAAGGAAGGGAGGGAGGGAGAGGAAGGGAGGAAGGGAGGGAGGAAATAGAGGAAAGAAAAGGAAGGAAGGAGGAGGGAGGGAGGGAGAGGGAGAGGAAGGAAGGAAGGAATAAAAGAAAGAAAGAAGGCATATTAATAGTTTGGCACCTTATTGTTCACTCAACAGAAGCTCCTCTATTTATATTGACTTGGAAAGATAGAAAATTAATACTTGTCTGTCTTACTGGTTCATAGATCCAAAAGTTCTGGGAAAAGGTGTATTTCGACAGTGAGAAGAAACTTCCCATGGTGGACAATTTTCGACCAGTTCAGCCTCTAGGCGCCCGAATTGTCGAAAAATCAAACTCAAACCTCCTCCTGCCTCTGAGGAAGGCGCTCTTGCTGGTCCCAACCGCCGCGTTGCTGGCCTTCGCTTGGATCTCCTGAAGAGCCAGAGCTGGAACATTCGAACCGTTCGCATTGAACGGCCCTTGGCATCTCAGCAGCCGCAGTCTGGAATCTCTTTCACAGGGACGGCCAGGATTTCATAGCAGAGACAGATTTTGGGATGATGCTCTGCTGCGTTAGGTCGATCCAATGTGCCGTGCATGAATTATTCTCGTGCAAAAATCAGGCCATGCGAAGGATGCATGCTTCTTCACAATAATTTTAAGCGACCGAACTTAAGAATATTCTTCTCACCTTGTTCCCATTCTCCAATTATAAATCTCTGTTGGGGTAGAAAGTTGGTTTCTTTTTCTCTTTCTCTTTCCCTCCTTCTCCATCTGTTCTTCCTCCTCCATATTTTCTCCTCCTCTCTCTTCTCACCCTTCTCAATCTTCTCCTTTCCTCTTCCTTCTTCCTTTCCTCCTCCTCCTCCATTTTCTCCTTCTCTCTCTTTTCCCCCTGCTCAATTTTTTCTCCTTCTCCTTCTCTCCTCCTCCTTCCTCTTCTCTTCCTCCATATTTTCTCCTTCTTTCTCTTCTCCCCCTGTTCAATTTTTCCTCCTTCTCCTTCCCTCCTCCTTCCTCCTCCTCCTTTCTTCTCTCTCTCCTTCTTTTTCTCTTTCTTCTCCATCTCTTATTCTGTCTCTTCTCCCCTTCTCTATCTTTTCCTCCTCTTTCTCCTCCTTTCTTCCTTCTCTTCTCTTTTCCTTCTTTTCTTTCTCCTTTCTTTTGCCACTGGATCTCAGAGAAATTTTGTCCGCGCATAGATTTGTATTATTTAGAGAATACCCTCTATTAACCAATATTCACACGCTTGTTTCAAGTCATAAGCCTGCCAGCAGTGGTAGCCATGAGAAGCATTAATTCAGCCTCATGATTTTGCACCTTGACATTTGAAAACCAAAGTGTGAGTATTTTTACAAATTACCATCAGAGGCAAAAACCGGATTTTTCAGGCAGGCCAAAACTGGCACCCTTCTCAACTGGAATGCCAACTTCAAATTGCCATGACTTCCTCATGAGAACTAGTTCCTTAGCCCAAAGGCTGCAATGTTGAAAGCTTTTCCAACAGTGATACAAAAAATTCTCATGGGTTTAAAATCAAATACAACACAGTTCGCCGATCGTCATCAATAGATTTAAATTAAAAATGCTGCAAAAACAACTTAGTCTCCAAGTAGACAGGAATAAGAATATTAAACTTAAATTATTATAAAGATTGGTTGCATGGTCAACCAGGCGTTCAGACTAGAACAGGGGTCTCCAACCTTGGCAACTTTAAGCCTGGTGGACTTCAACTCCCAGAATTCTGCAACCAGCAAAGCATAGGTAGTCCTCTGGGAGTTGAAGTCCTCCAGGCTTAAAGTTGCCAAGGTTGGAGACCCCTGGACTAGAATGTTTATCCATCTACCAGTCCTAACTAATATTATTTTCATTTTGGTCAGTTTGCTGGCTCAACCTGGATACCATTATACCTGGGTTTTATTACTGGATTCATAATGGAATAGTTTCTACGAGATCTGTATTTACAAAGTATTTTTCCAGGGTGATATGGGTGTCCTTTGTGTACCTGTCTCGCTGTGTATCTGTTTGTTTGTGTTTATGTGTGCATGTCCATGGATATGTGCCAGAAATGACTTGGGGGGCTGCATATGTTCTATGAGACCCCCTGGCCTCTATGTTGATTCCTGCATGCCAGAATTTTATTCTTTCAGGATTTCTGCAATGCAGTTAAGCTTTTTTTTCCTTACTGGAAGACAAAAATGGTTACATGGGAAGTAAACATTGAACGTAGAATAGAATAACAGAGTTGGAAGGGACCAGGGGTGGGATTCAAATTTTTAAACAACCGGTTCTGTGGGTGTGGGTTAATTGGTGGGCGTGATTTGATGGTCATGTTCTTGGCTGGGCGTGGCCAACTCAATATCATTCACATCGAGGCACGCATCTCCTCGCCTGGCCTCGCATGTCTGTGGGGATGCTGCAACAGTCGTAAGTGTGAAAAACGGTCATAAGTCACTTTTTTCAGTGCCATTGTAACTTTGAATGGCCACTCCACGCAAAGTACCAGCAAAGGAGGGGGAAAAAACTCTAGAGAAGTTCCAGAGACAGGAAGTCTAGTCCTGCCAAGAATGTAATCAGGGTTAACGGAGAGGCAGTTTCTGTAAGCAACATCAGAATGTTTCCTTCCTGCCTTCCTTACAGGATTAGCCCAGTCATTTCTTCTAACAACCGGTTCTCCGAACTGCTTAGAATGTTAACAACCGGTTCTAGCGAATAGGTGCGAACCGGTAGAATCCCACCCCTGAAGGGACCTTGGAGGTCTTCCAGTCCAACCCCCTGCTTAGGCAGGAAACCCTATACCACTTCAGACAAATGGTTATCCAATCTCTTCCTAAAAACCTCCAGTGTTGGAGCATCCACAACTTCTGGAGGCAAAGTTGTTCCACTGGTTAATTGTTCTCACTGTCAGGAAATTTCTCACTAGTTCTAGGCTGCTTCTCTCCTTGATTAGTTTCCACCCATCACTTCTTGTTCTGCCTTCTGGTGCTTTGGAAAGTAGGTTGACTCCCTCTTCTTTGTGGCAACCCCTCAGATATTGGAAGGCTGCTATCATGTCACCCCTAATCCTTCTCTTCATCAAACTAGATATACCCAATTCCAGCAACTGTTCTTTCTATGTTTTGGCTTCCAGTCCCCTAATCATCTTTCTTGCTGTTTTCTGTATTCTTTCCGGAATCTCAACCTCTTTTTTACATCATGGCAACCCAAACTGGATGCAGTATTCCAAGTGCGGCCTTCCCGAGGCATTATAAACTTCACGTGATCTTTGGAGAAAACTTCCAAGCAGAGCATGGCTGAGAAAGTTAAAATGGCACCTATGACAGTGTGTGATTGAACAGCTGCCTTTTTTATATATATCAATCAATCAATCAGAATAGGTCCTGAAAAGGACCTTGGAGGTCTTCTAGTCCAACCCCCTGCTCAAGCAGGAGACCCTATACCCATTCAGACAAGTGATATTTTTTTTTCAGCGGTATTGTGCTAGACTGGGCTTTTATGTCCGTCATCTTGAAATTCCTGAGAATATTCCTGCTTCTAATCAATACAGGTAGTCCCCACCTTATGACCACAATTGAACCCGAATTTTCTTGTTGCAAAGTGAGACGTTGATAAAACCTATTTTGCTCCATTTGATGACCTTCCTTGCCATAACTGTTAAATGAATGGCTGCAGTTGGTAAGCTAGGAACGTGGTTATTAAGGGAATCTGGCTTCCTTTGCTTATTAGACTGTCGCAAAAAGTCACATGACCCCGAGACCCTGCAATATGAGTCAGTTCCCAAGCGTCTGAATTTTGGTCACATGACTGGGGGATGCTGTGTGACCCCTATGGCAGCATAGAAGGGCAAAACATCACCATCTAGCGGACATCGAGATGTTTGCAGCCCAAATCTCTTGGCCCTACTTATGAAAACTTTCAAGATATTTCTGTTCTAGCCCAAAACCCTGAGAATGTTGCTAAAATGGCATTCCGAAAGCAAGTGAGGAAGACTCTCACCCCATTCCTAGGGAGGAGGACAAAGTTAAAATTCATCACTAACAGGATGTCTCTTTTTTTTTTGTAAAAAAATTATTTGGGTTTTTTAAAAAAATATATTAAAAAATAAAACATCGTTTTTTTAGAGAACAACATGTTTCCAGGTTGTCACATCTCCATACAGATATAATCTTAATTACATACTCATCTTTCTATATTCAATTTCATATCTTATCATTACTTTATAGATTGCATTATTTTTTTTCTTCATTTACTTTCCTCCGCTTTATTTTACAACTTCTCGTTCATTTCTAATTTTATTACATATCCTTTTCCAAATTTCCATATCTTCATAGTAATTATACTTGTACTTTTATCTGTCCTGTTTACAATTTCACTGTATATTCTTTTTTTCCATCATCCCGAAAAGAGAAAGAAAAAATATTCCCTCCCCTTCTGGAAGTAATGGGATATCTCTAAACAGGAGAATTAAGCCCCCGCAAATATTTTGATTGCAAACATGATCGCCAACATCCGATGACAGTTATGGCCCAAGAAGAAGAAGATATTTTGAAGCCACGTTCTCACCCAACTTCCAAAGAGGCTGAAAATCCAAACATTTTCCACTTCTATGTTCCCTCTTGAAGAAATGATACTCCTTGGATTCTTGTCTGAAGTGAAGGACTCAATAAATCTTTATTTTCTAGCATCCTAGAGAGCAAATACAAGGACTTCCATCTTTCACACATGTAGAAGAGAGATGTTTTATCAAAACCCACCTGCTACTTGTTCTGGAACCAAAACAATCCACTGTGGAGATAAAAGCATCCCTGAAGTTTTGACCATAGTCTCACAGCCATCACCATTTCCAAGGAGGCATTCCTTATAAAATGAGATATAGGAAGACATTTTTTCCAAAGATGGCTTGGAAGTATCTCCATGAAGAAAATAGTTCTTCTTACCGTTTCTTCTTCTTTTGTTGTTTAATCACTAAATTGCGTCTGACTCTTTGTAATCCCACGGACTGTGGGATGCTGGGCCCTTCTATCCTCCACTGTCTTCTAGGCTTTGTCCAAATTCATGTTCATTGAATGGATGACACCATCTAACCATCTCATCCTCTGCCCTCTCCTTCTTCTTCTACCTTCCATCTTTCCCAACCTCAGGGTCCTCTCCGATGAGTCCTCTCTTCTCATTAGGTGGACAAAATATTTGAGCTTCAGCTTCAAGATCTGCCCTTCCCAGAGGTGGGTATTCAGCAGGTTCTGACCAGTTCTGGAGAACCGGTAGTGGAAATTTTGAGTAGTTTGGAGAAATGGCCAATCCCACCTCTGACTGGCCCCGCCCCCATCTATTCTCCGCCTCCCATTGAGTCCCAGCTGATTGGTTGGGTCTTGTTTTGTTGCCCCGCACAGGAGAATGGAGCTGCAAAGCAGGTTAGTGGAGTGGGGAGGGAATGGGATTTTGCAGTATCCTTCCCCTGCCATGCCCACCAAGCCAGGGCCAC